ACAACCACTTCGATTGCCACTAGTACTAGGACGACTACCAGCATTATTATCACCAGTGGGATTACTACCACTACCACGACTACTTCCACTACCAGCATTTGTCCAACGTCTTCTATTCCTATTATTACCAGGACTATTACCCTTCTACCACTACTACGATTACTACTACTACTACTACTACTACTACTACTATTACTACTACAACAACTACCACTACTAGTACTAGCACGACTACTACCACAAATACCTTTACTCTTACTATTACTACCACTACTGCACTACCATTACCACTACTGCTGCACTACCTTTATAATCACTGCTCTTACTATCACTACGACTACTGCTGCGACTACTGCTGCTACTACGGTAACGATTAATGCTAGTCTTATTACTATTACGACTACTACGACTACTACGACGACGACTACTACTACTGGTTCTGCAACGATTCTTCCCACGACCTGTACTCTTGCTACCATTATCACGGCTTCTACTACTACGACTACGAGTACTACGGCTACTAAAACTACTACGAGTGTAACTACTATTGTGACGCCTACTACTGCAACTGCTTTTACAGTGTTAGGTTTCCCCATTCACTAATATTATGTTCCATTTATGCTGCTACTACTTCTATGCTTACTACTTGGACTAGTAGTATTGCTACGACTACGACTACTATTACTACTACGGCTGCGACCACGAATACGAATTCGAATACTCACACTACTACTACTACTACTACTACTACTACTACTACTACTACCACTACTACTACTACTACTACTACTACTACTACTACTACTACCACGACTACTGCTACTACTACTACTACTACTACTACTATTACTACTACTACGAATTACCACGACAACTCTTACTACGATTTCTACCACTCCCACTACGATTCCTGCGACCACTACTGCTTCGACCACCACTACTTCTGTCATTATGATTATTACCACGACGACGACGACGACTACTACTAGGACTACCACGGTTACTATCACCAGCACGACTACGACCACTACAATTATTACCATGACTACGATTACGGCTACTTCTCTTTCGACCACTACTACTACACGTTTGGTATTACGACTACCGTTTCGAATTTTGTTGTTACAATGACTACGACCACAATTACTACTACTACTACTACTACTACTACTACTACTACTACTACTACTACGACTACGACTACTACGACCACTCCTACGACCTCTACTAGTACTACTACTACGATTTCTACACTACTACAACTACGACTAGTACGATTACTACTACTACTACTAGTACTACTACTACTACTACTACTACTACTACTACTACTACTACTACTAGTACTACTACTACTACTACTACTACTACTACTACTACTACGACTACTACTACTACGTTCACAATTACCACTACGACGACGACGATAACGACGACGACTCATTATTACGACTACTTCTCGAATAGTTTCATTATTACTACTGTTACGACTAGTATCGTTATCGCTATTAATGCTACTCCGGCTACGACTACGGTTGCTACTACTACGACTACGACTATTTCTACCACGACGACTACGAGCACCACTACTATTACTATTTCTACTACTACTACCACTACTACTACTACCACTACTACTACTACTACCATTTCTGCTACTACTACTACTACTACTACTACCACTACTACTACGACTACTACTACGAATACGGCTGTTGATACTCCTCATTCTACTACGACGACTACTTCTACTACTGCGACTTCTACTACTACTACTACTACTACTACTACTACTACTACTACTACTACTACTACTACTACTACTACTACTATTACTACTACTACTACTACTACGACTACTACGACTACTACGACTATTTCTATTGTTCCTACTACGACTACTACCACCACTACTACTACTACTACTACTACTACTACTACTACTACTACTACTACTACTACTACTACTACTACTAGTACGACTACTACTACTACTACGACTACTACTACGAATATTTCTACTAGTCCTACTACGACTACTACTACCACTACTACGACTACTACTACTACTACTACGACTACTACTACTACTACTACGACTACGACTACTACTACTACTACTTTTACTACTACTTTTACTACTACTACTACTACTACTTCTACTACTACTGCTAACACCACTACTGCTACTACTACTACTACTACTACTACTACTACTACTACTACTACTACTACTACTACTACTACTACTACTACTACTACTACTACTACTACTACTACTACTACTACTACTACTACTACTACTACTACTACTACTACTACTACTACTACTACTACTACTACTACTACTACTACTACTACTACTACTACTACTACTACTACTACTACTACTACTACGGTCCCATCTACTACGATTACAACCCGTTCGCTTTGAATCCTTACGCAGCACAGCCGTGCATGCGAGTTGCACTGGTGGAAGGTATTATCTCCTCGGATCCCTGAAGTTTTTTTTATCCCCCCCAGAAATATCATCATGGGCATACGTTTGGACAAAGGGCCACCCTGCAATTCGGTTCAACAGCGGCTCGTCGAGGGGTGCTGCAGCCGCCCCTGACCGAAGGCCTCCCGACAGCGTCAGCCAGACAAGTCGGGTTGGCACCCCGATGGTTTGCTGGAACCTGGGAGCGTTTCGGCACTGCCACTGCCGCCGCCCCCCCCGACAGGGCCACCGACTCGGGTGACGGCGACAGCAACAGTGGCGGTGGCCAACGCGTCTCAGAGTCAAGAAGCTTGAAGCACCGCGGCCCAGAGAGCCGGGAAGACAGACAGACGGACGGACGGACGGACACACAGGCGGCGCGCAATTTTTGGCACGCCAAGTAGCAGGTCACTGCGTAAGGGAAGCAGGTCCCGAGCATAGCAACACGCACCACGACCACGACGACGCCGATAACGACAACCTGCAGCCCCCCATGAGCACAGGCGCTCCCAGAGCATAAGCCAGATATGCCGGGTGTGCACCCTCATGATTTGCTGGACTTTGGGCGCGTTTCGGCATTATCATTGTTGCCGCCACCCCCCCGTCAGGGCCACCGGCGCGGGCGACGGCGACATCGACACTGGCGGTGGCCAACGCGCCTCAGAGTTACAGCACCGTGGTTCAGGGAACCGGGAAGACAGACAGACGGACGGACGGACGGATACCCAGGCGTCGCGCAGCGTTTGGCACGCCACGTGGGCGGTCATTGCATAAGGGGAGCACGTCCCAAGCAGAGCAACGCACACCAAGACGACGACGACGACGACGGAAACGAAGCGAAGATGAAACATGGAAAAAGGCGGAGGACTAACAGAAGCAAGGGGGAGAATGGAGAGGAGCAGGAGGACGTAGACGAAGAAAAGCATTCAGCACCGGCTGCCTGCTTAGCCTTCACGCCTTTGTGGACCCCTTCTTGTTGTTCGCGTGCTAGTGTCTCGCGTTTTCCTTCACGTGTTTGCATTCAACAATTAGCCACATCGCCAATGTCGTTCGTCGACGCTTGTCTTGTGACACGCAGAAACTGCGATCACGACCACAGTCCGTGAAGCGTCGAAACGAAGGAGAGGGACAGGAAGGACGAAGAGGATGAAAAGGAACAAAGGACCGGGGGGGCAGGGGGAGGAGGATAAGGAGAGGGGGGGACTTGGAAGAAAATGGAGGGGGGTAGGAGGAGGAGGAGGAGGAGCAGGAGCAGGAGGAGGAGGACGAGGAAAAGAAGGAGGAGGAGGAGGAGCAGGAGGAGGAGGAGGAGGCAACGCCAACAAAAGAACAACCCCCTCTGCGTCCACAGGCGACCTCTGGCCGGCGGCGCGGCGGCAGCGGCGACCGTAGCCGCTCGGGCTCGCCGCCGCTCCCCCACCGCCCCAGCCCGCGCCCTGCGCGCGCGAGGTGGGCGCGTCGCCGTTTCCCCGCTGGGGCTCTGCCTAAGGGGGCCTGCTTGTCTGCGAAAGTAGCTGGTGGGCGCCGACGATGGTGACGCTGATGATGATGATGGTGACGGTGATGCCGATGGCATGTGGCAGTGAGCACGATGGAGTTGATGGCGACGGTGATGGTGATGATGATGGTGGTCGTGATGGTGATGGTGGTGGTGTTGATGATGATGGCGGTGATGAGCTGATGATGGTGGTGATGGTGGATGATGATGATGCTGATGATACTGATGATTATGATTATGGTGATGATGATGATGATGATGATGATGATGATGATGATGATGATGATGGTGATGATGATGATGACGATGATGATGACAGTAGTGGCGGTGATTCTGATGACGGTGACGACAGTGATCGTGATGGTGATGATGACGGTGGCGATGGTGACGGTAGGGATGATGATGATGACGATGATGATGACGGTGATGATGACGATGATGATGATAATGATGCCGACGATGATGGTGGTGAGTGTGATGGTGATGACGGTGATGATGATGATGGTGGTAGTAGTATTGATGATGGTGATGGTGTGGATGATGAAGTGGTCGATGGTGATGGTGATGATGGTGGCGGTAGTGATAATGATAATTGTGGTGGCGATGTTGATGCGTTCCTTATAGCACTGAGGCGCCGAAATTGGTGGGTGCGGGGTTCCTCGGTGTTGCCTTGCAACGGCGGCCCCCGCCGTTGCTCGGGGTTCCTCTGGGTCCCGTCCACGTCGTTTGGCCTAACAATGCCAAGCAGCGCCAAGCAATGCAGAGCCGCGCAAGGCAATGTAATGCTCTGCCAAGCAACGACTCAAAGCAACGCCAAGAAACCGGTTGCATCGAACTGCGGTGCATGTTCATAATATGTCGATTTGGCTTGGGACAAAGAAGACCCCTAATTGGTGTCGCATTGGGTGCATTGTTACTGTTTTCGTGCGTGTGTGTGTGCGTGTGTGTGTTTGTGTGTGTTGTGTGTTGTGTGTGGTGTGTGTGTGTGTTGTGTTGTGTGTGATGTGGGTTGTGTTGTGTTGTGCTGTGGTGCGTATTGGTGTGGTGTGCTGTGATGTGTTGTGTTGTGTCTGTGGTCTGTGTGTGTGTCTGTGTGTGTCTGCGTGTGTCATTGTGTGTCTTCGTGTGTCATTGTGTGTCTGTGTGTGTGTCTGTGTGTGTCTGTGTGTGTCTGTGTGTGTTCTGTGTGTGTCTATGTGTGTCTGTGTGTGTCTGTGTGTGTGTCTCTGTGTGGGTCTGTGTGTGTGTGTGTCTGTGTGGGTCTGTGTGGGTATGTGTGTGTGTCTGTGTGTGTGTCTGTGTGTGTGTCTGTGCGCGTGTGTTCGTGTATACGTGCGTGCGTATATGCGTGCGTGCGTGCGTGCGTGCTTGCGTTCTTGCGTGCGTGCTTGCGTGCGTGTGTCTGTGAGTGTGTGTGGGTGTCTCTGTGTGCGTGCGTGCGTGCGTGCGTGCGTGTGTGTGTGTAGGTGTGTGCGTGTGTGTGTGTACGTGTGTACGTGTGCGTGCGTGCGTGCGTGCATGCGTGCGTGCGTGCGTGCGTGCGTGCGTGTGTGTGTGTGTGTGTGTGTGGGCGTGTGTGTGTGTGTGTGTGTTTGTGTATGCGTGTGCGCGCGTGGATGAGTGCGTTCGAGCGTGCGCGGGCGCGGGCGCGTGCGCGTGCGCGCGAGTGTGTATGTGGGTATGCCCGTGTCCGTCCGTCTGTGCGTCCGTTCGTCCTTACGCGCCTGGCCAGCTTGGCCCAAGCTCCGCCTCCCTGGCCTGCCTTGCATCTCGTCCTCGCGTGTTTTCTGGCGTCGCTTCACCCCGTCTTGGCTCCACCTACTGTCGCACTGGCCTGTCGGCCTCTCGGTTCGTCCTCGTCTTCCTTCCCGCCCACGCTGCCCACAACCGGGTATGCGTATGGCACGGCCGATGATTTCGGGCGGATCGTTGCCCCTTCTTCTGGAGGCCCAGCCGCGCGTCCGCCGCTCTCTCTCGTCTCCTTCTGTGCTGTGCCTCGTCGTTGCGCGCGAGGCCGCGGCGCCAAAAGGTGTGTCTGTATGTGTGTATGGGTGTCTGTGTGTCTGTGTGTCCGCGTGTCTGTGTGTTTGCGAGTGTGCGTGAACGTGTGCGTGTGTGTGTGCATGTGTGTGTTGTTTGTGCGTGTTTCATGTGTGTATGTGTTTGCGTGTGTGTGTGTGTGCGTGTGCGTGTGCGTGTGCGGTTGTGGGCGTGTGCGAGTGCGTGTGCGTTTGCGTATGCGTGTTTGTGTGTGTGTGTTTGATTGTTCGTGGGTGTGTGTTTGTGTGTGAGTGCGTTTGTGTGTGGTTGTGTGTGCGTGCGTGCGTGTGTTTGTTCGTGTGCGTGTGTGTTTGTGTGTGTTGTGCGGTTGTGTGATTGTGCGTGTCTGTTGCTGTGTGTTTGCATGTGTGTGTGTTTATGCGTGTGTGAGAGGTGTGTGTGACCCCTTCTTGTATCTGCTAGCTGACCTCTTCGTCCTCCCCTCGTTTACATGCCGTTCCTCAGCGTCGCGTTCTCCGAGCTAGGCTCAGCGGCGTCACGCACGAATGGCCGAGGTGCGTTGCTGCGGTGGTCTCCCCTCCCCCCCCCCCGCTTCCCCCTCCGAAAGCTGCGTTTGAATCGGCATGTGCGTCGGTCGCTTTCTTGCTTGAGGGCCCGTGAAGGCCCCCCCTTGTCGGTCGGCTGGACGCGGGTAGAAACATGTTGCTTGATAGTGTGTCTGGAGGGGTCTCCGGAGAGGCGCTGTCAAGCGGATTCCACGTGAGAGTGAGAAGCAGCGTTGTCTTGAGACGCGGAAGGAACAAGCAGGAGGAGCCAAGGGCACGGCTGGCCCCAGCAGATGGAGGGAGAGAAAGAGAGAGAGAGAGACAGAATAGAGAGAGAGGGAGAAAGAGAAACACAGAGAGAGAGAGCGAGAGAGAAATACAGATGTGTCAATATTCCAGCAAAGGGAATGCTACGCTTAGCTATATGGACAGAGACGGGGGAAAAGACATAGGGAAATGTCAAATGATAGCGGTAGACAAATGGAGAGAGGGAGGGATAGAAAGAGAGAGAGAGAGAGAGAGGAAGAGAGAGAGAGAGGGAGGAAGGAGGAGGAGGACAAGGTGGAGGCGAAAAAGGAGGATCAGAACGAGGAGGAGCAGGAGGACGAGGAGAAGGAGCAGGAGGAGCAGCAGGAGCAGGATCAGGAATAGGAGCAGCAGCCGCAGGGCGACCGCGAGCGAGGGGCGAGGAGGAGGGAGGAGGTGGAGTAGGAGCGTGGCGCAGGGTGGAGGGGGGGGAGGGCGAAGGTGGGGAAGGGGCGCGGCGGGCGAAGCAGGGGAGGGGGGCCAGACGGACGAGGCAGGGAAGGGGCAAGGCGGACGAGGAAGGGGGGCGGGGAAGAGGCGCAGCGGCGAGGAAGAGGGGCGAGGCAGAGGCGAGGGACGGAGGAGCACCAGGCGCCGCGTCCGCGCGCGCGCGCGGGAGCGACCGGACGAGGACGGAACGGCGCCCCCCACTTCGGCAACCACGACGGCAGGCGGCGGCCCAGTCCCCGCCCTTCGGTCGGGGGGGGGGACTAGGGCAGGGACGAATCGTTCCAGAGCGCTCCGGAACGCTCTCAGAGCCTTCTGGAACGCTCCTCCTTCTCCTCCTCCTCCTCCTTCTCCTCCTCCTCCTGCTCCTCCTCCTTCTCCTCCTCCGGCCGTAGCCATTTTGGCTCAAGACTCCATGTCGCCCAGCGGCAACGTGGAGACCGCTGATCCGCGGACTGCTCCCAGTGATTTTGTGAGCTCCTGCTGGAGCCAGTTTACTGTGAGCTCCTGCTGGAGCACTTCTGTGTTGGATTGTCTTGTGGGCATCAGCTGCGCCGCTGCCCGCCCGAGTCTGGACGTGTGGTTCCCCAGACTCGCCGCGATGGCGCCGCCTGGAGCAGGATCGCTGCTACCCGGCCCCAAGAAGCCGACCTGGGGGTGCCCCTCATGCGGAACATCGACTAACTGGGCATGCCGAGTCAAGTGCAGATGCGGGGCATCCGCGCCCATGCATGTCATCCAACGGGCCCGCAAGGCTGCTACTCAGGCCGAGGAGTCCAAGGCTCCATCCCGCCGCGTCGGTGGAAGCGGCATGGGCAACGCCAGCCCTGCACCATGGAGCACCGAGTTCAAAAATCTGCAAGCGAAGTGTGAGGAGCTGGCGCAGCAGCTTAAGGCAAAGAAGAAAGATGGTGTTGATGGCGGGCCAAAAGATAAAGACCAAGACGAGGAGGCTGATGCCTCTAAAGACGCGAACGACCCCAAGAACACGGCCCTGCAGAAGCAGAGCACGGCGCTTGAGCAGTACATCAAGAGTCTCTCGGAGTGCGGCGAGGAGGGCTCCACCGAGACGCTCAAGGTCCAGCTGGCTGACAAGAGGGCCCAGCTTCGAGCCCTCCGACCACCAGCTACCGCCCACCGCGCTGCCCAGCAAAAGTTGGAGAAGTGCAGAGGGCAGCTGGACCGGCATAAACAAGAACTATCCACTCTTGAAGCGAAGATGGAGCAGCTCGCGAGTGACATCGCGGGCAAGCAGGCAGCCATTGCAGCCAAGGCTGCCGAGGTGGCGACGCTGTCTGCTGAGGCGGCGGCGAGTGCGGCCGAGCTTCAGCGCCAGCGTGGCGAGGCTGCGGCAGCCGCACAGGCGTCCCAGCAGCCTGTCATCCCCGAGGACTTCTTCGCGAAGGTGCAGGAGGACCCTGGCGTGGGGAACGACCCCGAGCTGGCGGCGTTCGTCAAGGAGGTGGCGGCGAATGCGCACTTCGGCAAGTTGCAGAAGCTGCTCCACACCAACCTGCAGTCCACGCTGCGCGATCAGCGGGCTGACGTCGAGATGGGCGCGGAGCCGCCGCCCGCCGCCCCGCCGGGCGCGCAGCCCGGCCAGGGGTCTGCTGGCGCGCCTGCTGCTGCTGCTGCCGCTGCCGGGGGCGCTGCTGCTGGGGGCGCTGATGATGCGGCTCAGCATGGCGACAAGCGCCCCGCTGAAGACTTCACCACTGATGACGTCCAGAAGTTGTGGGATCAGCTTCAGCAGGGAGGCGAGTCTCCGCTCTCTCGCGAGGACCTCCTGTCCGCCATCAACGACATTCAGAAACACAAACGCTCCCGTGTCAGCACGGGGCGGGGATGTTGAGCACCACCTGCCGCGAGTGAGTGGTTTCCCTGTTGCTGCAGGCCGTAGCAAGGGCGCAGATGTGCCCGCGGAGGCGCAGCAGGTGAGGTTGCTTGAGACCTTCAACGCCAATCAGGGGAAGCGGACCTTGAAAAAACGGCTTGAGATGACTCGCGCGCTGGTGGTGATGGCGCAGGAGATCGGCTACCACGATTGGGAAGCTGAGGAGCTGTCGAGTTGGGCAGCGCGTGCTGGCTGGAGTGTTATTGTCGAGCCAGGCGAGGCTACGGCTGGGCATCTTCCCAGTGCCGGCCTCGCGGCGTTTGCGAGGGCGAGCGTCGGCCTGCGGCGCCCACCAGGACGTTCTGTCCTGTGTCCACGGCGCGCGCTGCACGTCGTGCTGGACGCGCCAGGCTGGCCGCCCATGAACCTCATCAACCTGTACCTGCACTGCTCGGAGGGCATGACGGTCAGGAACGCCGCCATCCTGAGCGCTGTGGGCCAGGCGCTGGCGGGCCAGGTGTCGCCCTGCATCGTCGGCGGCGACTGGGACATGGATGCGGCGGCGCTGGAGGCGGTGCAGCTTCCTGCGGCGGCACTCCTTACGATGGTCGCGCCAAAGGCCATCACGTGCAGGACGGCGAGTGCATGCAGCACAATCGACTACTTCGGCCTCTCGGCAGCCGCCCTGCGGCTGTTCCAGCGCGTCGACGCTGACATGGCCTGGGCTGTGAAGCCCCACCGCCCTGTCACCCTCCAGCTGGCGGCGACGGGTGAGAAGGTCCAGATTCTCACCTACGCGGTGGCGCCGAAGCTGGCTGCAAGCACGATTGCAGGCCCCTTCATCCCCGATGAAGATTGGACTTGTGAGACCAAGTACGCACAGCAGGCTGTCACGATGTCCAAGGAGGCGGACGCTGATGCGGCGCGGGGCTTCCTTACCCTCGCCTGGGGCCGGTGGGCCACCAAGGCGGCCAGGAGGATCGTGCACGTGACAGGGGGCGCGCTGAAGCATACCGACGGCTTCGCGCGCCTGCTTCGGCCCCGGTGGGTTGATATCATGTACGAGGGGAAAGATGCTGAGGGCCTGCAGGCTCTCGCGGAAGGATGGAAGTGGCTAGTGGGCGGTCTGACCGGCATCATCCTTCTCAAGGAGAGTAGCCCTACTGAGCGCGATCTCAGGCTGCCCGACGAGCTCATGAGCTTCCAGACCTGCCAGTATGCGAGTGTGGGCATCAACCCCAGGCTCGACGCGACCGCACAGCAGGCGCGCACCATGCTCGAGGGCAACTTTTCGGCAGCTCGAGTTCGAGAGTTTTTGGAAGAGATCGATGAAGATGCACAGGCTGCTGCCCAGGCTGCCGATAAGGACAGTGCGCAACGATGGCGCGATTGGTGTCAACAGGCCTGCTCTGGCGGTGCGCGGGGCATGCATCGCATCACGGCGTACGAGGACGCGCAGGCCCCCACGGTTGTCACGAAGGCAAACACCTGCAATGGCCCCGGACTCGGGCAGGGGGGCAAAAACCAGCAATGAACCACGCACTGGCCCCGGGCTTAGGCAAAAACCTAAAGTAGCCCTGGACTCGGGTGGATTGCCATCATCGAACCCTCACATCATCGTCGCTGACATGGAGGATGTTTATGCTCGGCTGTGGCGTGCCACTGATCAAGCACCGCGGGCCTGGATCCCCGACAGGTCGTCGCTTCCTCGCGCGACCCCGCAGCAGATTCGGGAAGTTGCGAAGACCTTCCCTGAGACCACGTCCTCGAGCTTAGACGGCACGCATCCGCGCAACCTGGCCCACCTCTCTGATGAGGCGCTGGGGGCCTTGGGGATGCTCTGGGGGGCGTGCGAATCCATCGGCATGCTTCCCAAGCAGCTGGTTTGGATCCTGATGCCGATGCTCCCCAAGGCGCAGGGGGGGCACAGGCTTATCGTCCTATACGCGGCGATGTACAGAGTCTGGCAGCGACTGCGACGTGACGCCCTCCAGGATCCGCAGCATCTTCTCTCTCGTGTTTACTGGGGTGCTGCAGCGGGGAAGTCTGCAATAGATTGCGCGTGGAAGGTGACGGCGCAGGCTGAAGCATGTGCACAGGATGGGCGACTCAGCCTCAGCATCATCGCCGACTATTCCAAATATTACGAAACCATTAAGTTGGCTGCAGTTAAAGCGAAGTTCGTGAGATATGGAGCTCCGCTTCCGGTGGTCAAGCTGCTCTTCAACACTTGGCATGCGCCGAGGATTATCCGTCTCCTTCGGCACCATGGAGCCCGACCCCGTCATGGGCTTTATGGCTTCCCAGCTGGAGACGCCTATGCCGACATCGGCATCAAGGTGCACGCAGTTGAGGAATATGATCGATATGTGTCATTGCATTCTTACGTGGACTTCTCGAGCTATATAGATGACAGTTGTCTCGGCGTTGAAGGCAAGACGAAGGAGGAGGTGATTCAGCTTGGCGTTGCTGCGGGCAGAGGGTTCCAGCAGGTTGCGCGTGCACTCGGTGCGACCACCAACGACAAGCTAGCGATCGTTGGCAGCGTGAGTGGGCTTGCTGACGAAGTAGCGCGGCGCCTGGAGGTGCCTCAGGAGGCGTCGAAGCGTTCGACCCATTGCCTCGGTACGGACTTTGCTGCAGGTCGCTCGAGAGGGTCTGCTCATGTCCGAACCAAGCAGAAGGGGCGCCTCCAGCGCTTCAGGCTTCGACAAAAAAAGCTGGCCCGCTACAAGCGTGCGCTCCCAGTGCAGAAGGATGCTCGCATGGGCAAGGTGTTCAGAGTGGGTGCACGGCCTGGCCTCACCTACGGGCATGACGGACACCGAGCTCTCCGCCCTGCGCCGGGAGCACGGCAAGTACGTTAAGCCGTACCACGGGGGCGTCTCGGCGGGCGCCAAGCTGGTCCTCGAGGGGGACCCCGCCGCCAGGCAGGCGCTGGCGCCGGCGCTTCAGTGGTCGCGGATGGTCTGGGTGGCGGTCGTCAGTCCAGAGAGCGCGCTCGCATCGCTGGAGACTCTCCGTGCCTGGTGGCAGCAGGCTCTCGGCAGACGAGAGCTCAACGACCTGCAGTGGCGGACCTCCAGAGGGCCACTGGAGCGCGCGGCCCTGTGCGTCCGCCGGGTGGGCTGGACGGTGGATTCCCCCACGACATGGCGCGACCACCGCGGGGCTGCAATCCCACTGGAGCAGCTGACGCCTGGCGTCCTCGAGGTGCTCATGACGGCCGCATTGCAGCGGCAGCACGAGCTCGCACTGGCGGAGAAGTGGCAGTGCCCGCTCGGGGCCAGGATCTCGTTCGACCTGCTGCGACCGCTGGTGCGGCCGAAAAGCACCAAGTACACGTGCTACCAGAAGTTCTTAGTGAAGAGCATGGCATGTGGAGGCTGC